TGGAGCTGCTTATGCCACAGACTGAAGAGTGTTATCCATCACTGCATTTTGTACCTTCCCCCAGTTCAAATGCTTCCCCTGAAAAGGCTTGCAGTTGCTGTCTGTTGCAATGAAAAAGCGTAAGGAAAGAATGTTCAGTTCACTGTGCAGACAGCAATAAACAGATGTGGTTGAGGCAAAGCTGTGTTCATGGTTCCTGTAGACAAATATCCCTAAGAATGGAAGAGTTCCTATGTTGCTTAATTGCGTTTTTCCAAGTGGAGAAACTAAGGCATGCTGGTTAGGAGAGAAGTTTCAAATACCACTTGTGGCATGTCTTGAGACCTTTGCAATAATTTTAAAAGTGGTTGCAGCATCAAGGTGTGCAAAATTAAGCATGAAGCCTGCAGAAACAAAGGCATAAAAATCCTGATTTCTTCATCTCAATCCCAGACCACCTTTTCTGCCTTCTCTGTTCACTGAGTGTGGGTTGTTTAGAAGGCCACAGTCTTCTGCTAATGATGTGGAAAACAGGCTAATTGCAATGTGTAGCTTACCATCTTCAGCACGTTCCTGGCCGTAGGAATTACAGATCTCCGTATTTCATTGTGTTGCTCAAGGATCTGTTTTTCATTTTCATTTCCATGAGGAAAGGAGGGAATGTCCATGCGTTTATGCTGAAAACCCTGGAAAACAATAACAATGAAGGTTCCAGTTATCAGAATTTTAATAAGCAAGATAAATTATGACCTTCTTGTCAAAGTAAAGCTTATTGGAAATTCCCTACTTTCTTTTATATGTTATTTTATTCTTATAATTTCTGATTTTTTTTCTTCCTTCCTTGATTTGAACTGCACTTTTCATTAGGAGACATGACACTAAATGAAATTTGTAGATAGGAATTCTACTTTCAGATGTCTCCACACCAAACATGGAGAAAGCTTAGCTCTGGAACCAAATCTCAAGACTGGCTTTGACCTCTTGTGTGCAGTAAAAAAGTCCCTAGCTCTTGTCATTTGTAAGATTTGGAAGTGTGTGAAGCTGGATCAGAAATTAAGACTGTTTGCAGACCATCTTCTGAAATACCTAAGGTCAAGAAAGCAATGAATTATTTAGATTGTCTTTTATATAGTGCTGTCAGGTCATGACATGCAGAGAAAAAGGATTGCAATGCTTATGCTGGAGTTTTCAGACTAAAACATCCCTCAGGAAAGGGTTCTTTCCACTTAATATCTAAAAATGAGACTTGTCAGGCTAAGCTATACACCTGCGCTCACTTTGTCATTACTGGAGGGGGCAGAGTTCTCTCATCCCACAAAATCTGAACTCTTTTTTTTTTTAGGACTGGAAGAGCCATTCTCTACAAGTACCTCTTTCTCCTTCCTTTGTAGAGAGAGGCTGGCAGAAATCTAGACAACTAATACTTTGATGCTTAAGTCAGTGAGATGAGTTCCAGTGTTGGTGTGATGGTCCCTTTTCTAGGCACTCATTCATCTTATTTAGTTTTAGATATCTATACCATAGATATAAATATCTAAAAATCATCTCAGTTTGCCTTTAAGGTCCATAAGAATAGCATAAAGTGAGAGAGACTGAATTCTGAAATGTCCAAGAAATATGAATGAATCCCACTGCTTTGCCTTCAGAGCTCAATTCTAGGTTTTAAAGGCAGTAGTCAGTGGCTTAAAATAGCACCTAATGCCATTTGAAATGCCCAGCGAGCCCTACCTAGCCTCAGATTGTTGCTCCAGAAGGGTATGTCTGTCTATATAACCACACATGTATGGTTTCGATTATCTAGAGAGTCTCAAGCTGCACTAAGACACTTCTGTTGTAAAAGAAACAAACAACTTAGGACATAGAATCATAGATTGGTTTGGGTTGGAAGGGACCTTTAAAGGTCATCTAGTTCCAACCTCATGACATGAGCAGGTACACCTTCCACTAGACCAGATTGTTTAAAGCCCCATCCAACCTGGCCTTCAACACTTCCAGGGATGGGGCATCCACAACTTTTTTGGGTAACCTGTTCCGCTGTCTCCCTGGAACCACCTTTTCTCCAGGCTGAACCCCCCCAGCTCTCCCAGCCTGTCCTCCCAGCAGAGCTGTTCCAGCCCTCGGAGCGTCGCTGGGGCCTCCTCTGGCCCCGCTCCAGCAGGTCCATGTCTCTCCTGTGCCGAGGGCTCCAGAGCTGGACGCCGCCCTGCAGGGGGGTCTCCCCAGAGCGGGGCAGAGGGGCAGAATCACTTCTCTCAACCTGTGGCCACACTTCTTTTGATGCAGCCAGAATGTGGTTGGCCTTCTGGGCTGCAAGCACACATTGCTGGCTCGTGTTGATCTTGTCATCAACAAATACCCCCAAGTCCCTCTCCTCAAGGCTGCTCTCAATCCATTCTCCACCCAGCCTGGATTGCTTGGGATTGCCCTGACTCAGGTGCAGGAACTTGCACTTGGCCTTGTTGAACTTCATGAGGTTTGCACAGGCCCGCATCTCAAGCCTGCCAAGGTCCCTCTGGTTGGCATCCCTTCCCTCCAGCGTGTCATGTGCACCACACAGCTTTGTGTCATTGGCAAACTTGCTGAGGGTTCACTCGATCCCACTGCCCACATCGCCAACAAAGATGTTAAACAGCACCAGTCACAATACCGACCCCTGAGGAGCTCCACTCCTTCACCCAAGATTTACTGAAGGAAGAGACGGTTGGCATCCGTGAAGTACTTATTTCTTTTCATCAATAAGCAGATCTTGATAAATAGCTTACATTCAAGTGCCTATGTAGTAGGTATCTACACCTTACAAGATTAATCCTCTCTAAGGAGAGGTGAAGATTAGATTTCTAATACTTAGATAAGCTACTTTAGAATAGCTTCAGTTCATATTTTTGGGGAAAACATATTTTTAAAATTATTCTTGTGAAGAGAAGAATACTTTTATAGGCACAAGAAATATTTTTCACAAAACTCTGTGAAAAATGAGAGTTCATCTTCATTGTCTTATATTAACATGTTAACACTAATTTCAGCACTGAATAAAAAAAGCTCTAGAGATCACTAGACCAGACTATGCCACATCAGATATCTATACAATGTGCTCAGATATGGCTCTTTTGAAAAGATGAATTTCTCCTACCTGTCCATCAGATTGGTGTAGCAAAGCAGCCAGGAAAATGATTCCAGTTAGTAGATCCATTTCTATAGAGAAAAAACCAAAAAACAAAAGCCAAAACCCACTAATCTCTGTTGCATAAAGTTTGTGGTGTAATGTGGTATGTAAGCGAGACACAAAACTGTTGCAAAGTCAAGCCTGCTACACACAAGATTATTTCAGGTGACACCTAATACAACTGAATGTGCTGAAACTCTGCCATGAGTGTATGATGGTGCATGGGCACCACTATCTTGTACAGAGAGACTTCACCTAGCATTGAAGCACGGACTACAACTAGTATAAAGTTGCATTGTTTCTTCTAACAGATGGATCAATCCTCTTTTGTCTTCTTTATTCAAGGTATCTTCAGTTTGCAGCATTTCCTTCATCTTTGCCTCCTTGTATAAAAAATAGCCCATTAATTTGTTCAGTAGGGTCACGGCAGCATCCTGCTCAAGCAAACATCATCTGTATTGGGAACCAGTATTGTGGAGTGGAGCACTGAACTTAGCTGCAGTTGTGTCCATTCCTTTCCTGTTCCCTGTTTCCTCATCAAATCAGCATGATAATGGCTCCAGTAAATGGTGATGATCACCCTCAAGTTACATCTTACATCTAAACATAAACAAAACCTTCATGAAATAATACTGGCTATTGCCCTGTGGCTGCTAAATGCCTTATAGAAGCCAACAGCACAGCATGTACACAGGCAGTCGGAAACCCACTCATATTCATGGGATATTTTTTCTACATGTCAGAAGCAGCAAAGGTTATATATCTTTGTATTGTTGAGGATATACAGGAAATAACATCTTTTTAGTTGGTAAAGAGTAAAGATGTGGCAAAATCAGGAGGAGGAGCAACTTTGAGCTCAATGGGTCATCTTAAAACAGGCTGAACCAAGCAAGGAAAATAGACATAAAAAAATGTCAAACATACTAAACCTTCTGCGAAAAATCCGCAGTGTGGGCAGTATGGGTCGGTGGCAGAGATCTAGGAAATCCTGCTTGATGGTGAAACTACTGGGATAACACCTGTTAAAAGCACAAATAGACAATGAAAATATAAACAACCCACCAATCCATCTTTGCTAAGTGATTAAATAAAGGTGTTGCTGTCAGGTGAGAAGAATGAGTTAAGAGCTTTTACTCCCGGCAGGAACTGAAGGATGGATTCACATCTCAAAGAATTAACAGCAAGTTACCCGGGTCCTGCAAAAACAACTTGCATTTCATTCTTTCACAGAATAGAACTAATATTTCTTGCTCCTAGAATGATGACTTGGAAGAGATGACATTTATAGCATTATTCATATGCTGTTCATTATTTAACACCTGAAATTGCCTCTAGATTTTTGATCTGATCTTCCTTTTATTTATGTCTGGTTTATGTTACTGAAGTCCATGGATTTCCTTGCTATCTAGTCCTGTGTGAGTGGGTCAGCCTACACCTGTGGTGTCAGAAATTGCTGCTTAGTATAGGGAAAATAATGATAGCAATAAAAAGAATAATGATGGGGGTCCAGAAAGAGCATCAGTTTTCTTCTCTGATGCTTTGGTGTGACTTTTTCATTTATAAATAGTGCAGCAGCTCTGATATTTTCATCTTCACTGAGGAGCAAATTCTATACATTGTGGTCTGTAACTGGGCACAAGCAGGTCCACTTATAACTCTCATTTTGGGCTAAACTTCTGACTAAAATTGAACCCGGCACAGAGGGCCTGGGAAAGGCCTGCTGGAATGCTGGAAAATAAAACGTTTTTCAAACATTTGTCTTTGTGTGTGAGACCCCTTTTATGTTCACATGTTATGAGTACTCCATACTAGTTTGCAGTAGGAGTATTCCAACACATATCACAGCATATAATGTCATGGTAAAGGGCTTGATGTAGTGATGCTCTTGCCAGCATTTACCTTTCAGTTTGAGAGTGACTTCCTCTGAATTTAGGAATGCTATTATTATGCTAATAATTATAAGCATAGCTTGAAACATTCATCATTTTTACGACACAGGAAAGACTTTCCACTAAGATCGGAGCTGAATCAACCAGAGAACATAAATGTACCATGTGACGTTTGCACCCAGCCAAGAGATCTTAGGGCTAATATTCACAGCAAAGGGTTAAGGAACACATATAAGGCATGAGTCCATATATCAGAAGGTGACAATCAAGCCAATGTTGGAACAAGGTAAGTTTTTTATTTTTTAGATGCGCAGCTATGCAGAGTTTCAACTTACCTCTAGGGAGATTAAACCAAAGAAGAAAAGTGAATTCTCCTTTCACTTGCACGATAGCAATGCAAGAGTAAGTTGCCTGACTTCAGAACAAAAGTTATTGGGTTATTCTATGCAATATGCAGTATTCTTTCATGAGCTCACAAGGTAATGATATTGGTGTATTGATTCTCAAACTGGTCCTAATAAAAATGGTAGCATGGCACTGCCATGCAGAGATGTGAGTTTGAATCTAATGGTCTTCACAGTTACATTATGGTGGCATTGTGCCTGGGCTAAGAAATCTTAACTCTCAGGAGGTC